GGGAAAGAGATGCATGTTAACAAGCGGACTGGATAAAACAAGCCTGATAAAGAAACAAAGGACTGGAAAAGGAACAACTGCCTGTTTGATTTGCAAGAATGTAAAACACCACTCGCAGCAAGGGATGCAATAAGTAACTAGTGATAGAGGCCACTGTTCACAAATGTATCTTTACTCAGGACAACAGTTCAGGATGTCCCAAAGAAACGGGCCTGGGTGCTACCCTGGGCAGGATTATTGTTGTCAACAAAACATCTTGTTTTGTTCATTTCAGAACTGTTAAGAACCTGTCACAAGTGACAAAAGCTGGTGAACGTATGACATTTTGTAAATAATTAATCTTTTTTTTCTTCTTTTTCTCCCCCTTCTTTTCTGTTTGCCCTTTCCTCCCTTTAGATCTAACTTCTAGCACAAGTACAACAAGAAGCATGGAGGAGAAGAAAGAGGAGAAACCAGAAGAGCAACTTGCAGAACCTAAATCAGCTTTCCCAGAAGCCTTACTAGAATTTCAGTACGTTTAATATATTTAACTTTTCACTCATATAGATTGTGATAATGCAGATAACAAAGACAGCTTATCCCATTTAGAGCCTGAGCTGATTGACTGTGGCAGTTGTGTAGTGTTCTTTTGTGTTCTTGGTTTTGGTTTTCAAGGCTATTTTAGAAATAGACACTTTTTAAACTGTAACTATAAGAAAGCATTTAAGTGGGTCAGAAATAATTTTATGCCCTTAGGTCACAATTTGGGAAAAAGTTTTATTAGAAACCACCACACACACACACATTTTTGTCTGTTAGTGGCAAGCTTTTGATCAGCATACTCTGAAGCTGCAAGATCACATTTGACTATATTTTTTAGGATTCCTTGGTGTTCACAGAGGTATGTAGTCAGTAGCCAGAACCTCATGACTTACAGTTTGCTTCCTTGGTGCAGCTGAGAGTGGAGCACAAAAGAAAGTGGTTTATTTTTAAAATAATGGAGGGATAACTTAAATGTCTCTTAAAATCAAGCAGAGAAAAATAAGACTCAAGAGGGGAATATCTGAAGTAGTTACAATATAATCCAATTTATTTGATCTCCAGTCTCTTGAGTAGATGATTAAAAGAAGAAAAATTAAGCTCTGTGACTTTTATCAAAGAGGTGTAAGTTGAAAGGGAAAAACCTCAACAGCATCCAATATTCAACAATTACCAGCATTTAGGGAGCAAGGAGTAATGCCTTGAAGTAGGAATGAAAAACAGGGTAAAGCAAACTGAAGAGCAACCACATATAGTTCTAGATGTCTAGTGACATTTATAGGAGTTTACAGGGTTTATGTGGGACTTTCTATTTCATTTTGCAAAGAACAGGGTACAAATTTTCATAGTGAAACAGACCAGATTTAGCTGAATCATATCACAAAAAAAATACCATCCGAGAAGTCAACAAACACATCGATTTTGCTAAGGAAGAAGCAAACTGTGTTACTAGACTGAGAAAAAAACCCCACCACTGTCTGATAAAATTATTATTCATATTATTATGCATATTCAAATATCCCAGCAAATTACTCATTTGTCTGAAGTCTTCCACTGAAATGTGTGCTGTACTGACACAGGATATTTAGTTTCTACAGCAACAGTAGGGGAAAAGAGGAAGAAAAGTATTCTTCTTTCTGTCTTTATCTTTCTCCCTCTCT